CAGCCTGGGCATTGTGCCCTGCTGACGCAGCTCTCTTTTTTCCAGGACCCCAGCTAGCATCTCTGTGAGGCACTAAGCGCACACTGCTGCAATTCAAATGCTGTAGTCATGGGGACAGACAGATAGCAGCCAAGAGATAACCTGACCTCCTGGGCTAGTGGGTCAGGAACATCGGGAAGGGGAGGGGAGGGGAGGAGCAATTTATCCAATATCATGCAATTATTACTTTTTCAATCTGAAAGAAACTGTGCATGTATCGCATCTGGAGCCATCCCAAGTGACTGTATGAGCTATTAGGTTAGGATTAGTGAGGCATGTGGTTTTTATTCTCTTGGTCACTACATCTAGACTGCTTAATTTAACAGTGTCAGGACCCTTTCTTTGGCTCTGAAACCAGAAGCATGGCCCAGACATAACCATGCTATGCTTCCAAAGAGGGCAGCTGCCTTCAGACAGCCTACTGGAAGCTGTCCCCAGCCTGTGCTGGCTCCTGGGAATTGGTTGGAAAAACTAGTTGGCCCAGGCCAAAGCTGTGCTGGGAAACATGCTATGTGTACAGACAATGCCTAGGCATCAGAACTGTTAAATTGTTCCCATAAATCTCTTCATGAAAATTGTTAGAAAGCACCCAGACTCTTTGAAGGGTGGCTGTTGAAGAGCTTCTACAGAGTAAGTACCAAAAAGAATATATTCACATCAAACTCCACAAAAAAAAAAAAAAAAAAAAAAGTGAAATCCAGCACCCAAAGCACCCAATAACAAGTGAAATACCACCAGTGCCTACACTGAGATGAACTCAGTGCTTTCTGAAATGTACTGAGTGAATCTGATGTTCTTTTGAACTCTGAGTAGACAGGTAGTGCCTTTCAGACTTGAAGTACTCAGACTGTATGAGCCAAGAATGATTCATGTTATCAAAGCGCAAGGAAAAAGGGAACACAAGATTATAACAACAACCTGAATTCAGAACACTATCACATTTGGTTCCACTGGGAAGAGTAAAAGGGATTGCTTACACCATAAAAATTCTGTGGCACAAAAATAAAATAAAATAAAATAATAAAAAGAGAGAAAAAAAGAAGAAAAGGAAAGTAGGTTTCTTCTCTCCTTTTTAATAAAGTTTTTTTTGTGTTTTTTTGGGGGTTTTTTTTTGGTTTTTTTTTGGTTTTTTTTTTTTTTTTTTTGTACATATAAATAGAATTAATAATAACTGGCCATTAATTGAAATTCACAAACTTGATTTTGGACTACAGATAAAATTTACCAGCTTTCTTAGTAGTGTGTATCTAGTTATTTTATCTGTATCCCTTTGGTTGCATCCTAAATTAAGCAGTACAATAATGCAGACTTCTGCTTAGCTCCATCATACAAATGATATATTGATAATATATTGATATGGTGATAATAGGACCAGCATATTTAACATCAATATTTTAATGAGGCTCAGCATTCATTATTCTAATGCACTTGGTTAAAACACCCATTACGTTGAGTATGAAGCCAAATTTTGGCCAAGTGTGGGGCTGCACTTTGGCATGAGAGCACTCGTGGAGAGCAGTGCAGGGTGTACTGAGGTGTGTATTCTACTTCCTTGCTACAGGAGGAAGAGGAGGAGCACTGCTGGAAGAGCATGTTCCCATGTATCTAAGACCAACAAGAATTCTGGGTTCCTGGACAAACAACAGGCTCACTCAAAGAGCCTCCTACCAGTATAAACATCTTTCACAACAGCTTTGATCCACAGGGAAGACAATTTTGCTTCTTCCTCAGTTCAGACTGTTGGGTCCAACTATCCCGTATCATAAAAAAAAAAAAAAAATCAAAGTTCATCACATCCTTTACAGGCACATTCTGTCTATTTCTGCATTCTTCAAAGGTGTCTTATACTTTTGACAAAGAATTCTTCTCAAAATCTGAGTGCAAATTCTGCTGGCTGGCAGCAAGGTTTCCCTAAACTACTCACTTGCACTGAAGCCATAATGAGAAAGCCAGGTCATTAGGGACCCTGAGAAGAAAAAGAAGCAAGGTTTTCTCAGCATATGTAAAATGGTGGAAAAATCTCTCTTTCTCTGTCGCTCTCTCTCACACACATAAACTCATCCCATCACAACGACAGTAAGTTGTGGCACAAACTGGAATATCAATAAATCCTTCATCTACCTGAAACTGAAATACAGCCAGATAAAATTTATTTTTAGATTACCTTGAATGCCAGCCAGAATGGAAGATGCAAAAATAAGACACAGAAATAAATGCTGGTAATGCAAAGCTGTAGATAGGAAAAGGGGACTTTAATCCATATGCTATGAAGGCGTCCCTCAGTGAATCCTTTCTGAGCAGATGCTAATAAATAGAATCATCTTCATTTGGGTTACTGGTATTACCTTGTTTGGTCTTAGTCTGGCATGATTTCAGCTTACTTTATGTCTCTTTGAATATACCAGACAACAAATTCTTCTAAGGAACACATGATACTCCTGCCAAAATGGGAATGAAACACAAACTGCTTTCTGAGAGTATGATCATAATGAAACTGTTTTTCATGGTTATATCCATTTTCAAAGAAACTGCTTTCTCTCTACTTAACAAACACCTTTATGTTTAAATAAGGACACTTAAAAGAGAAGAGGCAGCAAAAGATATCCATGGGGGTCCCCACTTCTGGCTCTCCCCTTTTCTCCCTTTATGCTCCCATTTGCTCTGGGGATTGCTGTACATTCATGTTTGATAGTGTATCTACCTGTCTCTCCTGGTGCTGGGAGTAGTCAACCTTGCTGTCAAGGTACCTCTGTACCTCCAAGAAAAGGAAATTTCTCCGCATAGAGAGGGATGAGGCAGAGAGATTGTCATGAAAGAAGTGCTCTGAGTTTGCTTGCAGTACCCAGAAATGACTGTTATGAAACCGAGTATTGGATTTTGCTATTCTTTTTTAAACATGAAGGCCCATCTAGTCCAATAGAACCAGAAGTTTAAAGGTACTAGAGTAATTTGGAATAAAGCAGATCAATCCTGACGCCTTCTCATCTCTTCTACAGTACAAGAGTTGAAATTTGGATGAAACCCTAAAGCTATATATATATATATATATTATAGGTAGCAATAATTTTTACAAGTCTAAAAATTCTTGTTAGATACTTGGTTCCTCTTCACCAGTTCTGAAATTCTTGGTCTTAAAAACAACACAAGACACTAAATTCCAAGGATTACAGTCAAACTGTATCCTAAACACATCCCTTCCAATTCTATACTTACTCTTCAGATTACACTAAATTCATCCACTATTTGTCCATTTTTTCATAGCTATAAAGTCCTGATCCAGCTTCCTTCAAAATTCATTTTTCATGTAATTTGATGCACTTTAGTCTGCCTTCCCTCACTAGTCTGCTTTCCAAATAATTCTAAGTTTTTCAGTCTCTGTTCACATAATTGCTTGTCAAGGAATTTCTGAGCTCTTTTCCATAGCTCTAATGCAGCAGTACCATTGCTGTGTGGTGATACTTCACACATATCCATGTGAGATTACACCAGTAGTGTGAACTATATGTGTTTGTCCTAATATTTTGTAAAAATTCATATGCATGAACAGAATTTATTCAAATTTACTTCAATTATTCTTTAAAAATAATGCAACTATTAATGCTAGACTTGAAAATAATCTAAGCATTACTGGCATATTACATTGCTGTCTATATGTAAAAAAATAACAATATCAAAAATAAACTATAATAAACTTATTTGCAAGTACTGTGCACTAGAAGGAGAATGCAGAAATAATATAGGAAATGTCATGTCATTACTGTAAGTCAGAGAATGGTCGCTAAAACCTGTTCATCTCAGAATACACCTATTTTAGGCAGCAAGACAAGCAAAGAGGACAAAGAATATAATGGGCACTGCAGGATGATAGCACGGACTGAGCTGAATGATTTCCATCTGGAATGCATTGATCTCAGAAAACATTAGAGGACTCAAAGTCCATCCACTTTACTCATCTGTGTGAGTCATCCTCATTAAATTCAAAGGATCTCAGAACATCTGTGCAACTGTAAATTGAATTTTAACACTCAAATGAGCAGTGACTCAATACAGCTTCTATGTCTGATACTAAACTGGACAAGTGAAGAATTGCCTAAAAGCAACAAAGCAGTACAGAAATTTGAATTAGTATCAGAGTTAGTAGATAGCATTTCTTTTTTAATTAATTTCCTATTGATTATTAAAACATAGCATTGAAAGTATTTCAAATATTAAAATTATCTAAGCATTATTATAGCTCATTTAATACAGAGGATTGAACTTTTATTTTCTCAAGGATACAAGTAAATAGACATTGCATGAAATATTTCAGAAAAATAGACAGGAAATAAGAATCTGAAAATAACTTTAGAGTTAATAACAAGTATTTTCAATAAACAGATTATATTAAATGGAAGAGTTTTCATTTTAACATTTTAACATCATGTTTCAGGATTTCTTACTGAATAAATGATGTCAGGTGGGACCTGCATGAAAATAATATGGGTGTTTTTAAGTGTTGAAAGAAACTAAACAACACATTTGGAAATACCAAAGGAGTAGATTTGTAGAAGTATGTAGGTCTAAGCATCAACATGAAGTTTTTAATGTCTTCCTCAACCGTGAAATAAAGTATCAGGAACTCTGAAAATCTCATAGATTTTTGTCTGGTTCTTTACTTCATCTGAGAACCTTTAAATTTCAACCAATTAGAGGTAGAAACCCTCCAGCTTTTTTTTTTTTTTTAATCATTAATTAATTATTTTTAATAAAACTATATTTCTTACTGCTTTGTAAAACTTCATAAACTGAGTAATTCATACAGGTCATTGTATATTCATATTGTGCATACGTCACTAAAGAAATAGATCAGAAATAAGAATAATCCTAGAAACATTCAGATTTCATATTAAAAAAAAAAAAAAAAAGTAAGAAAGAAAAAAAAAAGAAGAAAATCAAGAAGCAACTTGTACCAAAGTACTTACTACTATGAGCGTGGCTGCTTGCCTCACCCATGGAAAAGGTGCACGTTTTTGCACCTATCAAAACTGGCTCGGTGGCTGAATGTATACTGGGAAGTCAAACAGCAGAAAGGAGCTTTCTGCATGACAGTATTTGGTCATAAAGCATGGCTCTGCTTTCCCACACAGCTTCTGAGCTTGGTTTGAATTCTGCTCATTCCTCTCAGGTATTTTAGACACAGACACCCCATTGTACAAGGTAAATACCATGGATAGAAACCTCTCTATTGCAACTGTTTGCGGTGCCAGAGAAATATCCCAGGCTCTGTCAGGTGCCAGACACAGTTTGTGGGTTATGAGATTGTAAAAATTAGATTAAAAAATTGTGAGGGGATTTATTCCTGTTTCCTGAAAGCTATTTTTAAACCAATACAAAAACATCTGAACAGTTCAGAAAAGAGGAACTGGACCCAGTCCACTCTCCTTTCAGCAGCATGCACCATCCAGAATCATGCTGCTCCTCCACTGTCCCCTCCAATTCTGAGACTGCAAGAGGTCCAAGCTCTGACTCTACAAGTGAGCCACAGGACAACTAGATCAAGGAGAGAGGAGCAGATAAGGATTTCAGTCACACCCCAGCTCCAGTGTTTATCAAATATGTCACTTCTCACTTCTTCCTGTGAGTGCTGTCAGATTCTTCCTCTGGCTGATGTGTTTTGCACTGCTCATCTCTGCCCTACATCTGCTCAGAGCACTTCTGACTGCAGGAGACCTTCTCAGGGCTGAGAGTTGGTACGTGCCCCCTGAGCTGCAGCAGAGTAGAAGCAGCATTTTGGTGCTTAGTTTCTAAGCACTGAGCTGAGGCATCAAGAGCCAATTGTAGTGTTGAGCGAAGCTGCACATCTCTGAATAGGGCAGCTGCTGGAATGCGGACTACCACAACTCTCCTAGGTACTTAGGCAGCTCCTTTTCAAAAAATGACATTTTAGGCCCCAGGATGTAGGGTCATCAAGTATTTGTTTGCTGCAATATTCAGAAATCCCCTAATTTCTAGCTTAAACCTCCGTATTTTTGTCAAGAAGAAACAGAGTGATCTTGCTTGAAGGTGCAGTCTAAGTAGAATTTCTTATCATCAGTTATCCAAGGCCCACACTCACAGAGATCAGAAAAATCATCATCATGGCTACTGTAGGTTACAAACAAGACACTTGATAGTGTTTCTTTGTGGAGTCTCATAAGTAAGACAGTATGCAAGAAAAATAGGCCAAACAAATCGTGGTAGTATAATTACAAAAAACAATTTCTTTTTCTTGCTAAAAATATGCAAATAGTGAAAATAATAAAGCGATTTAAAGAGCTAACCAGTCTGTACCCTATTGTAATCCACATTCAGTCATATCCCTTAATTCTGACAAGAAATTGAACATGTTTGTCAGGACTCGCCCATACCCAAAATGATCCAGTTTTGGTGGAAGAAAAGCTGTTTATTATAGACAAGATTATTTTCTCCTTTTCTAAATGAGAAAACATGTAGTTTGTTTTAGGAAGAGTGCAGTTTCCTCATGGATACATTGAGAATAAGAACAATAAGAACAATAAGAACAATAAGAATATTTTCCTGGCTGTTTTTATTTTTGGCACTATAAAATGATAAGAGGAAATAGCCACTGTGTTTCACAGCCATAGTGAAACTTCCCAAGGAATGTTTGAATGTAGTTTGTAATTAAATAGTTTGAATTTTAATGGTGTATCATCATTTGCAGCTGCTAATGGTAACAGTGGAAGACATAATTCTGTCCACATTAATTGAAAATTAGAATATTTGCCTCCAACTACTGCATTAGGTGAAATATTTGTTACTGTGGCAAAGTACTCTATAGATAAATCATCAACAACTCTCAATTTGCATAATAGATTTTCAGAAACTTTGTCACCTGTAAAGAAAGTTTTAAAATGATGAGAGATTTTTTTTTTCCCAACATTGGAATCATGGGAATAGAAGTTGCTCCACACAAAATTAATTTACCTTCAGATGCCCTCAAATACCTGACTTTGTATTTTGCTCAACATTTATTTTATTTAGCTAAAAAAAAACTACTCTGACCTGATTCAGCTGCTTTCTCCATAAAATGTTGACATTTCAGGAAATTATCAACATCTCTACAGTGTTCAAACTTTTCAAATGGCTTGATGTATTACATCCATATTAAAAATATGCTTACCAAAAGATCTGATGGGTGCACTGTAAAAGATTAACAGCTCTTGTACTTGAGAAAAGCCTACCCTTTCTTCCCTTGGTTCTAGCTTAACTTAAAGAAATTTTATGCCTATTCTTAATTAAAAGACAGAGCAGAAAGAACAAATTCCACCATAACAGACCAGTTTTATTTTTAAAATTATTCTTAAATAAAGGTGAATTGAAATATACTGAAACTGAATACAGGTAATATTTCAAGCATATTGATGCTTGAAATAATGAATTTATACATTGGAAGCAACATAAATATACATTTCAAAATATTAGATTTGCTAAAACATAGTATTTACTAATGATAAATTGAAGATGTTTTTTATGTGTTTATTATTTTCATGCAGGAAAGATGATCAATCCAGGACAGCTGAAAATATGAGAAATAACGATTGTGTAGTCTTCTGTGTCTGGCAACTGGGAAAAGAGGCCAATTCTACTAAAAATAGGTCTATCTTATGGAAAGTCTGACCTTGAACCTTTGGTTCAAGGTTAGGTCAAGTATTTCTGCCATCAGACTTAGACAAAGCATTCACTCCATTTATTGCAGCTCTGCAGACAGTGCCTCCAGGTGAAATAAACACAGTGATGCTGTAGTTGCAATTTTTAGATCTATGTAACAGAACTGGATTACAATAATTTAGTCTGGAAGCGATGGGAGGTATAAATTACTATGACTCTAGTGCTGATTGACGTGATTATGTGAGAAAAGAGATAGAAAAGATCTATTAGGTCATCTTGTCCATTCCCCATGATACATTTTAATGTCTCCAAAGGAAGTGTTATAATGTGTTTTGACAAGGACCTGGCTATTAATAACACCATTAATAATTTTTATGACATTTTTAATTCTCTTTGCTTGGGCTTTTTTTTTTTTTCCCCCTATGATCCAAGAATAGATGCCTTGTTCTTTCACCCTATTACCAGTATAGGCAACATGGGTTGTATGAAATGTGATAGAATGGTTAATTTTCAAAAATATTATAACGTATTAAATAATTAAAATGGCTCTGTGTGACCAAAGTGCTAAAAGGTTACCATATTAAAAAACAGCAACAGAGAAGTAGTTCAATATTAATGTACTTGGGCCTGACCTCACTTCCCATCATACAATATACGGAGCAACTTCTGCTTCTGCCTCTTATCCTTTCCCCAACCTATAGAGTTAAAATCTGCACAACATTCTGGCTGTGAAGGATATGGGGAACTGCAGCTCGTATTCAAAATGAAAGCATGATGATTTCTTTAATCTTTTGTTTTCCAATGTTGCCTACCCCTTCTCTTAGTGGTGGTAGAGAACCTGGCAAGCACTACAGAAATTTTAGAAAATGTCAGTCAGACTACTTCAGGGTTTGTCAGAAAGTATCTTCCCCTGTGAATCACCCAGCATCTGATCCTTGGCTATGTACCTTTATGAAATTAATATTTGTCCTACTCTACAAGACATTGAAATGGCAGTAATTCTGAATGTCTCAGGAGCAACAAGTCTGGGACCTAGGTAGAGGATAGCACTCCCACATTTATTAATGTCCCACACCACAACACTGGAGAAGTCATTTAGTAGTCTTTCTGCAGCTGTTTCCTCTTTTAATTTTCTATATTCTATCTATTCAACACCTAAACCATGGTCCTGGATAAGACATGGACTGGCACTTTTCCCTTTCTTATCCCAGGCCCAGCTTGCTGTAGTTCTCACTGGCAAGTCAGCCAAAAAAGCATGAGAGGGATACTGCATGTTGGTCATGCTGTTGGCTGAAAGATTGGGGTGGTGGGACGCACTGAAGATTACATCTGTCCACAGTCTAGACTGTAGAGGTGATACTTTCTCAGATACTGTATGCACTGTGGTGTAGATAATGAGCAAGCACCTCGTTAACTAATGGTATTTCTCTCATGAATTCTACAGTCTGTGCAGAGGAGGTACAAAAGCAGAGATTAAGCTGGGTTACCAAATAATGAAAGGGTTCTCCTGATGAGTAAGAAATATTTGTGCTGAGTTTTTTTGTCTTTTTTTTTCTCTGTAGCATAAGTCAACTGTTATTTGGTCCTTTTTGCTCAATGAAGTAAATTATATTTTTTTGCTATAAATCACGAATTATTGTTTCAATTTAGGGGAAAAAAAAATGGGTGGGTTTCTATGCTATTTTTAGTGAATGGCCATATTCTAAAACAGATTTAAAAAAAAAAAAATTCTTACAAACATAAAACTATCATAAATTTAACAAATGATAGCACGTTAAGTTATTATTGGCTACACTAAATAATTTTACGTCAAGTGTGTGTGAGTGTATGTGCATGCATGTGCTCTTTAATATTTATGAAATAATTATTAGGTACAGTTAAGTTCATTAATAACTTCTTTGAGAACGTATTCTACAAAACACATTAGTAATGAATTGTTAACCAGCAATGCCACGGCTTGCTGTTATAAAAAATACTGTTATGTAGGAATCGTCCAAGCTAAGGACACACTTGATTAATATATGAATTCTGGAGGTAATATACCATACTTTAAAGTACAATAAACTTATTAAATAATTATGAATCAGTTGTGCAAATGGGTATTATAAATAGCTTGAAAATGGAACATAAAGCCAACTATAACAGAGTAATCAAATACTCTTGGTCTTCTAGTTCTCGTTCAACAAAAGCAATATAGGAAAATATGTGAATTAGAGCACAATATGAAGTCTTCGTCTAAAATGGGTGTTCAATGCTTACACTTAGGCGCCATCGGTAAGTGCTCAATTTAGCTAGCTATTAGGGCTAATTTATCCAGCTTTTCTGTAGACAACAGAAGAGATTCTTCAGAGGCTGACTGAAGACTGGAAACTAAGGTAGGAATTCCAGGTGGAGCCTCAGAGAATGTGTCTCTTTCTGTTGACTACCCAGAAAACCCATGGGCCTTAGGTAGCTGAAATACCCAACTAAAATATATTTCAAAAGCCAGATGTTCTGGTTACTCCCCTACATGTCAACGGCCTGCAGAAGTTTTATAGAGGACTACTATTTACATAGCTGCACATGCTA